CCGACGACACCGAGCAATAAAATTCCGCGGTGTGGCGCGAGGAACAATAAAGTGGGCGAATTAAATTGCGTCCTAGGTAGTTTCTCTTCACCTGCGCGGTATAATAATCCACCGCGAAAAACGGTGCTGCATCGGTATCAGCTGATCGTTAGCGCGTATTTATATTTCGTGCTATTTCTCGCTTTCGCGCGAGAACCTTTGACTTTCAGCCGCGCCGAGAACGTCGCGTCGTTCAGCAGCTATAATTACCGTTAGAGTAAGTGCACGTTCTAACGAAAACTCATTTTAGCTTTTCCATCAAAATATTCCAAGTTCGAATCGTGGGCACACAACGATAAATGATAAAGATGTTACTATAATATTTTTATTTTGTTAAACAAATATTGATACTTTGTTAAACATAAACAGAGAAATGTCATCTTCAATTTATTATTTTTTACTTATTAATTTTGCATTATTTTAATAATTTTCGCCGAAGTAATCACGTCAAGTTTCCAAAATATAAGAATAAGTCTTATCACTTTTTTTATGTTTTGAGTTTGAGAAAAAAAAGTGCAATAAAAAATAATTTTTTTTTCTTTGATACCTGAAGCTTAGAGAATGCTTAGTACCTGTATATTGTATATTATTCAGAAATATTGAATATGTATGACGAGATACTTTAAGTTACTATATTATTTCGGAAATACAAAAATGAATTAAGCAATACAGTGAGAGAAGACCGGGCATTCTAGTCTTATATAAGATTGGAAGCTGCGAAAAGCCACCGCGGTTCTTCCTCTTCGTTCTTTCTACCACTATGAAGTACCTATGCGTTGCGGTTATTGCCGCTGTTAAAGCCCAGGTCCAGGTTGATGATTTTCTCGGCGCGGCAACACCAGTGTACGCCGCCGCATTCTTCCTGCCTGTGTCTTGTCGACCGTCTGAGAATTAACCGCCGCGATACGCGGCGATACGAGATCGGTTCTTGCGGGAGCCAGGATCTCGCGGCGCGACGCGTTCAAAGAATTTCCGCGAGTCATGAATTTTTCTGTCTGGAATGTGATTCAGAGCCAGTTGTGGATACTTAATTGAGCATCAAGATATCCGCGAGTGAAAACAGCTTCCAAAGAATCGGTACATGTCAAATTGGGATGGAAAACACGTCGATTCAAAGTCGTCAAAGTTATATAAGAATGTGAAAATATGAGTTTTCCAGTAATCTCACGTAACATTATCCGGTACTGTAAGAATCTTTATAAATAAAATTTAATAAAAAAAAATTGTTATACATCAGTACAGAAACTCTGCTGAAGTATTATTTTTAATATACAATTTGTAAGTTGTTACTGGTATTAATCGAAATGCCAAGCATATTTAAGATCATGAACAATTTTCTTATCTATCCATTAGGATTGTAACTTCAATCAATGAAATAAATATCTTAATAGTACAAATAATCATAATGTTCAATGTTTCACGATATATATAGAATTAACTCCCACCTTCATAATCCATTTATTTTTTGTCGTGTAATGGCATTCTATTCTCACGCGATAAGATTGATTTTCTTAGAAAATCTAAGGGGTAGCGAATATATTCCTTCCTACCTCACGTGCCTGCCGGCCTTCGCGCGCCGAGACCAAAGGAAGCGAAATCGAATGCATTCCAAGCTGCCGTAAGTCATTCCCGACAATATCCTCCTCTACTCGCAGCACCCTCGCGCGTGGGCAGTGGCGTTTATGTCGCACGATGGGCGGATTATGTTCCACGGCATGCCGACAAACCCGCGCGTAAAGAAAAAACGAATGGATCGCGCCGACGAGATCGCCGAGCCTTGCCGTCAATGAGATATCCACGTGCTAATGAAACACGACAACCGACGCGAAGGCATGTCCGATCGTATGGCGTGGTGTGCCACGAGCACAGCCACGCCAGCTATGCAGGTTACGGAACGATGACAGCAGAACGGACGTTACGGGTTACGGGAAAAAAGGACGACCGGTTCTTCGCACTTGACTGCCAAATACGCCAAAATAGGATATAGGAAAATACAGATAGGATTATCGATATGAATGACTATTTTGACGGTGACTCGTCAGTTATTTTTATTTACGCACTTCGGGAAATCTTTATTATCTAGCGGAGTATATTTTCTCTTCCTTCCTTCCTTATTATCAGACTCGACAATCGAATGCTGAGAAATTACATCAGATAGATAGAATTATTTGGACTATATGTTTCGTATTGAAACTTGAACAAGCTGAAAATTCTCTTCTCTTTTTCTTCTAGGATTTAACGTAATATTCTTTCAGTGTCAATTTCCAATTTTAGACAAATTTAAACAGTTAGAACGCAAAAAATCCATTGTTCCGAAAATACTTGCCGATAATCATTCATAAATGCATTTGGACACTTCGCAGCTTTCTTTATTCCATTTTTTCGTTTGCCGTTAATGCTGCAGAAAGTCGCCGGTTCACTGCCGTATCTCATTAGCACGAATACTCATTGACGAGTTCGTTACTCCGTTCATTCACTGTCGGGGCAGGTCGCTCGCCTCTCGCATTGCAAATACAAACACTGCCGACACACCGCCAATCGCAAGGAAAGTCAAGAAACGTGTACGAGCATGCGTATACCAGGACTGCTGCAACGGACGCGCGCAAATCGGTCGTACTAATTCGCAACGGTCCGCGGTGTTACACCAATCCTGGACTTAGAGAGAGACGCGTACTAAAAGATGATTGTTATAATTACACTCGTACAGCACGCGTGTTTTGCGTGAACTATTCCTGCGGCAACGAATGCATGATCGAGGTTAATGCGGCGTAATATGATATCCTCATTTTTTGCCCCGGAATGAAGAAATCTTAATCATCCCAAGTATCGGAATGTTTCAACGGAACGCTATCTTCAGTCGGTCTTATAATAATTAATACAGGAGAAATCATTTTCATTATAATAACGCGATGTTTTATAGAGCCACTTTTTTATAAAGCGTCGACTTTCTTTTTATCTTTTAAGTAACCGTAATACTGTAAAAACATATTTACATTTAAATTAATCTAATAAATCTGTATTAAAATTGTTATTTTCAAGGCATTAACTGTCCAAAGAAAAATTAAAATTTTTTTGTATTGCTTTTATCACTCAACAAATTAAAATTTATTTTCATACTTATATAGTTTTCCATATCTTAAATTATTATACTGAATTCTCTTATTTATAATATTTACACTCGTTAAACAGATTATTATGCTAAATTATACTTAAATCATAGTTCTTCAAACATATCTATATGGACTAGGACTAGGGCAACAGTTCTGTTGCAATTTCAAACTACATATTTTCATACGACAAATGAAGAAACGGACAGGTCCACGATTGTGGGCGCCAACAGCGAAAGAGATTTAGCCCGTGGGGTGACACAAATTATGTGGTGCGTAAAAAGTCGCGCAACGAAACGGCGAATGCTGCAAGCTCATTTTTACGTCGACGCCGCGGACGTCGCGTCGTTTCGGATAAAGAGTCTTGACTTTGCAAACCTGTCGGCGGCGGTTACCAAAGAGGCGGTTCGAGACGAGCGTGGGAGGACGCAAAAGGAGATCGGCGGCCGAACAGCCGCGAGACTTTAAAGTACGGTACGGTACGGTACGGCCCGGTCCGACCTGGTCTGGCCGGGCCCGTATCCGCGAGTGATTCGTTTGGCCAGTCCCCATGGCATGACGAAAGATCGAGTGACAAGCGAATGCGCCGACAATTTGCATACTCGTCCGTTACAATTACGCTTGCGTCGCCGGCGTCAAGTCATCGCTCGTTAACGATGCCCTCGGGGAGACGGATTAAACCGGGATTGTGACACGTGACACGAAAGTTTGCAGCACCGAGAACTGTGTAACGAAAATATTCACGGTCCGATTCGAGCGAAATTGTTCGGCGTAGCTTCAGAGTAAAAGAGCAAATATTTGAAAATTGAAAAGAATTGTTAGAAATGTAAAAATCAAGAATAAAATTAAATGTAGATTCATGGCAAATGTAATTTAAATAAAGCTAAGCGATAAAAGCAATTAATCGCGTAAAAACTTAAACCAATATATCTTTTTTTAGAAACTAATATAGACACCTGAATGTATCGATTCAATCACTAAGTTTATCAAACGATAACTTATATTCTTTTCAAAATAAGCTTTTTAAACGGAGTCAATATTCTTTCTTGGAATTTAAGTTCGTGCGATGAGTACGAATTATTGCAGAATAAGTTGCGAATTAACGTGGAAGCCTCTGTTAAATACATATCACGGATTTTCAGTACTTTGTTTAGCAAGAAATATTTCCGTCGTCTTCGGGGACTCGCGTATTCGCACGAGCACGCGTTGTACGTGCATATCGGAATAACGTCGCGAGTACAGCGATTCTATTCATACGCACTGTAGTCCCTCCCAATGAAACTCTTTCAAGCGAGCATGGAGAAGTACCGATTCGATGCACGAGTAGCGTTTGGATTTTTCAACAACCTATATGTGACATGAAGTAGCCACTTTACAAGGTATGCCGCCTACGCTGCACTTCAGCCACAATTTCAAGTTCGATGCGCTGCGTGAATTTAGTCGCCGGTAAATCATGCGTGCCTGCATAAAAGCGCTCGTCGAGTGCGAGCAGCCGGCTTGTCGGCTCGGGCAGAAGTCATTCTGCCGAGTTTTTAGATCGCATACCTTCGATAGGCGGTCATTCCGAAAGCGAAATTCAATGTCGCAATTTCTACGCTTGTAAACAAGACTATTCTTCGTCGAGTCGTTAATAAATCTAACACTATTTTATATGGTATAAATAATTTGACTTTTTGACCAAAGATTATTAGCAAGAAATACTTTCGAGTCATTGTTAAAAAAGAGACAAAACATCGTTTAAATCGTTCTATACCATAAAAATGACTGAAAAAAGACTTTGGCTTCTTGCGCATGCAAATAAAAAAAATTTCTTCTTGTTATATGTAAAATTGTATAAAGATCAAAATTACTTACCGAATCCCATCCGTACTTCTTCCTCGTCATCACTGTCAATATGCTTAATTCCCGCCACTTCGAAACTTTTCGCTTGTTCCTTTCGCGAAACGGAGGAAGAACAGTTGCAGTTATCCTCGCCGGCGCCGCAGCCGCAGTCGTCGCCGGCGCATCTGCATCCCAATAACGGATCGTCCGTGTCTATATTCCTGCACGCCGGACAGGGGAACGTCATATCGTCGAGCGAGACCCTCTCGATCTTTCTCTCGACGGTGACGAGCAGACTACCTATATATGCCGGCAGATCCTCGTCGCTAATGTCGTCCGGACCGTCCGCGTTCCGCAATCTGTCCTCAAGATCCTTCGACGAATCATCGGCGACGTTATCTCGCCGCAGAACGCTTTCCTCGAATTGCAGAGGACTCTTCAGATCCTCCGGCGCGATCGTCCTGCTACGCATTTCGCACCTACTGCTCTCCTTCCATTTCTCCATTGTCGTAGGGGAGACCACCTTGGCGCACCGCTTCACTTTAACGCGGCTCTCGTCACCGCCGATGGGACTAGAGGAATTCTTGGAGCGCGCTCTACGACTCGAGCCTCGATCGAGTTCACCGTCAAGGTCTTTCTCCCAAGCGTCGACGCTGGACGCGGACCTGGACTTCATCACTGTGGCGGTGTAAACGGGCTCGCCGATCGCGCGACTCTCGCGGCAGAACTGGTGCTCCAGCCTGTCGATCGATCTGGCCTCCTCCCGACGATGCTCGGCGCTGCTGGTTCTGTTTATTTCGCGTGTCCGAGGACGCGCGTCCTCGCGCGATCTCCGTCGCGGACGACTGGTGGTTTTCATCACGCTCGAAGGTTGCGCTCCGCTGAGATTTGCGCCCGCCGTATTCGACGAGCTCGGCTGACCCTTGTTTGTCAGGTCCCGCCAGTCCATAAACTCGTCTTCACGGTCCCAACCCAAGATCCCCGGGGCCCTCATCGACGTAGTTCGCCAGACTACTGCTATCTGCGAACAGCAACAATTTTGATCGTAACTCTCTTTCTCTCTCTCTCTTATCTATTCCGCTTATTTTACATCTGTTATACTAAGAATATTATGCCAAGGGATTTTAATATATGACGTTGTTTAATTTAAAGTCAATTTTTTTGTTAAAAAAGATAAAGTAACAATAATGATATCTGTTGCTAACTAAACTCCAAAAAGAAATGCCAATAAAGTAAAATAATTTTTAACTTAATTTGAATTGAATTTTACTTGAGTAATATTTCAATCTAAACTTTTATTAATTAGTTACAAATATTATAAAATAATGTAAAATTATAAAATTGTAAAAGAAAATTCGATTACAACAACGTTTATCATAGGAAAGTTTATCACATATTAAAATATACGTATTTCTTATCAAGCATCTATGAAAGCACATTGAATAAAGGAATTCAGCCGGTTCTGCGTAACTCACGGTAAATCAGCTAACTCGACACACTTCTAGGAATACAGGAAAGCGTTATAAGCGTGACAATGCCGCGTCGGCATTCTCAGATATACGTCCTTTATTGCCCGGAGGAGCTTAAACGCGCATCTAATAATGCGCGTCCCATTACGCGTCTGCATCCGATGACTGTTAATATTTATGCCGAGGATCTTTCGTGCGATCACACAAGAAGAACGCTGGGAATTCTGGCCGAGTCTTTTCGACGGTCGTTAAGACGAAGGTGTCATTCTGCGCGACGGTACAGGGTACAGGGAGGACATCACCGACGCGGCTTCCTTGTGACGACGGAGGAAAGGAGAAGAGAGAGAGAGAGATAAAGAGAGGAAAAAAATGAAAAGGGGATATGACTCACCTCAACGCTATTTTGCTCGACGGCTTCACCGGCGGTCGTAGCGCCGCTGACCGACGAGGTGGTTGCAGTTGCAGTTGCAGCAGCCGCGCTGCGTACGCAAAGGTAACATTCCCCGAGACGCAGCGCGGACGTCTCGAGCTCACCCAGCTGCAGGATCAGGCCGCTGCCGCCTAATGTTAGAGGCCAGCCCTCCGGCACCACCGCCTCGTTTCCCTGCAATCAAACAAATGGATCATGTCGCATCTCATCATCACTACGTAAAGAAATTTGCGCTAAACATCATAATTTTCGTCATGTACCAATGGAGTACCAGCTAAGTTTCTTCCGCACACATCGTTTTCCGATTGTTCCGCATCAGAACAGAAATTGTTCTTAAATGAGAAAATTATTCTTAGAGGAAAGACAGAAAACTAACAATAAGAATAAAATTGCAGCTATTAATCGAAATTTACGAATTAAGCTAATATATATAATTAGAACTTCTGTAGACAAATCGCGCATGAAAGCGGCAGGAATTAAGATGTAAGAGAGCGGTACGTTAATCGCGCTGATTGCAGAATAATGTGGATACACCCAGAATTAAGACGACGTGCAGTCAGTCAGTAACTGTAGTCAGTAGTCCTTTCTCCGCTGAAAAGCGTACGCTGATGAGTAGGAATGCTAGTGGAATTTAATCGGAGTCAAAACGCTTCGTGCGCACAGCGAAAAGAGAGTCCGGAGTATTCTGCGCGGAATGTGTTAATGTCGGAGATTGCATCTTGAAGTATTTTTACATGCCAGAATATTACATCGTATTAGCAAGTTTAATATTAATTGCGTTAATAACAGTTAAGTAATGCGGTAGTTTTGCATAATTCCTAGTAAAAAGAAACAATTGTGTAACGCAGTTATGTTCACAAATAACAAATCAATTAATAAACAATTGTTTCGGGCTTTAACAATATAAGGAATTGAAAAATAAATAACGGTATCGATATACAATGCAAACTGTCGGCAATTTCGAAAGCACTATCGCGATGTTCATTTCTAGACTACCTCGGCACACCGTCGCGTTTAAATTTAATATCGGGCCTTACGGCTCATATCTCCTCATCTTTGAAGGAGAAGAGATCGCCGAAGGTGCGAGACTCTCTCGAGTGCACCTTGCAATAACGCCTACATACACACGTCGACCTCGCGACTACGTGTAAGCAATTAGACGGTAGGATAGCGCAAATAAAGGGCGGCAATTGAATGCACACAACGTGCTTCGTGTTCGTAATTAAAAGCAAATGGAACGCACCCGTTCGATCGTCCATGATTTTCATTATCGAGACGTGAGAGGCGTGCGCGTGAACTGCATTCCGCGGGGAAATGAAATTTTACCAATTGGAGTCGATCGGGAGACCATTCATCGATTCTCGATTCGATGCAAAACTAATTAATTCACGACAAAAAAATATACTAGCGTTGATCCCCATAAAAATTTCCCCATTAAACTTTTTTATTGAATTTTTATTTAATATTCCCTGCTTTATTTTTCCAAGTAAAGATTCATATTGAATTATTAATATGTACTTGTATTATTTACAATACATGTAAATGTTATATATATATATATATATCTTTTACTTTTTTTCATTTAATCATTTATTGACACCCACAAAAATATTTCTAGTTCTATATATAGCACGATGAAAAATTAGCTCATGTTATAAATTTTTTGATTGAACAGTGCTCCTTTTAAAAATATCATTGAATTTATAAAATATCGAAATTATCATAAAATAGATAAAGTCGCTTAATCCAGAGTAATGTCGGATAGAAGACATTTTAAATAAAGTAGGAGTAGAAATTTCTGTACACACGTGACATGTATTGATCTGTCGCCTTACTGAAATGGACATATACGCGATATGTGTCGCGTGCTACGTGCCGATGACTCGTTGCGTGTACAGTAAGAACACGGGGCAACAGGAACTGGCCCAGATACCAAGTATCACCAGCTACGAATACCCAAGACGACAACTTTATTATAGTCAAAAGTAAAAAATCCCCGAAGGCGCGGTAACAAAGAACAATATATGGGTTGCATTTTGATGAATAGCATGAAATAAACTATCGTTATAATCTCTGACGATATATTCATATGATAAGCTCCGCGTTCTTTATGATACAAATAGAGTCACCGTGTTCACGCGATCAGTAATAAGCTCAAGTGTTTTTTAAATATACGGAAAAATGCTCAGTACCATGATACCATACTTCGATTCGAATACGCCGCGAGTCAGTCTATAACATGAGCCTTTAGAATGTCGTACATCTTTGAATAAAAGAATTTCAAATCTCACGCGTTCGCTTTCTCATCGATTCATATACTCTTTATACCTTCAAAAAATTAAAAAAAATGAAAGAGGAAACCACGCAACAAGGGGAAAGCGCCAGTATCGCGAAATTTCATCGAGCGTCCAAAGCAACATTGTCAACGCTCCAAGACCAATCAGTGCGAAGGCGATTACTAGAGAGAACGCAGAGGCCGTGTCGTCTGACCATGACGACGGGACGGACGTTTATGATGCGCGCGATAAGGAAACCGGGGGCCCTCTTGCCTGTCAACCAAGTGTCTCATTAGCGGTATAAACACCGCGCGAGAGATGTATCTGGCGCCAAAACTAAGCGGCTTTCACTGCGTGATTTACCGACATATACGTACTGCCTCCCCCCCCCCCTCGACTTACTTGCGGCACGGCTAGCCTACGCTGCACGCGGGAACCACGTGTGTATGTTTTCAGTGATAGGCGGCAAAACGGGAGGGACGCAGTCCCCGATGGGACGGCAGGGTTCGGCGAGAGCCAGCGTAAATCAGGCCTTATCGCCGCGGAATTCGCATTAGGCCTGCTAAGTGCGAACGCTGGTGCGTTAAATTTCATCGCTCTCGATACCCGCTCGTTTCTCAGACGCGTGGCAAAGGAGAGTTTATCGGTCGCCCTCGCGCCGCATCGCCGCGTGTAATAATTTTAACGTTATCGGCGATTTTTCGCCGACGCGATCGCGCGGCTCCGTTACGCGCGACTAATATGATCGCCTTCGGTACGAGTCGAGACTAGTTTGAAAGGTGCGTTAAGAAACATTTCAACAAATTGGAATCGCTTACTTTCTTGCTGCCAGTAAGCTGTAGACGCGAAGGAAAGATATGAATCACACACTTTCTACTCTTATAAAAAAGACACGAATAAATTTGAGGAAACAAAGATCATTTATTATCTTTATACGGAAGTAAAACAAAGTCAAATTTTCGAAATTTTATTCAAGAAAGGAGATATTTTAATTAATTACCCTTATATATACATACACACGATAAAATAATTTAAAAAATATTTATACATATCTTTTAAATTACACATGTGCGACTTAGAAACGGTATGCCTTCTCTTCGAGTTGATAAGAGTGGCTTGGTAAGTTCAATCGTCAGCCGTATTACGAGCGGCATCATCCGTAAATGAATTAGCTGGCTAATGCGGTCGTGCGGCGAGAGCGGCGGATAAATACATGTTTCCCGAGCGATGTCTGCTCGATCTAAGGAAAGAATCCGTAATAGACGATTAAACAAGAGAGAGAAAGATATGGTGAAGGGGGTAGAAGGGGGTACATGAGAGGCACGCTGACTGCCGTGCCGGATGCTGTCAAAGTGACAGACGCGTGCGCGCGACTGACGAGGGCTCATTAATCGCCGGTCGCACCACACGGCGGTCGATGCATTGACGTGCTTGCATCTACGCGACCAATACGAGAGAAAGATACGCGCACGCGAGTGGAGTAACACGCGCGGAAGTACTCGGAGCGGGTACATCGAAACACATTTCGCAGCGGTCCGATCTGATGAAAGTCCGGCAAGACTGATTGCGATCTGGCTGCCGCGAGGAAGCGAGGAAGCAAGGGGAAAGAAAACGAGGGGAACAGAGATAGCGAGAGAGAAGAACGCACGCGAAGGAGAGAAACGATCCGCGGACTTGTTCCGCGGGCCCTGTTATAAAAAAACGCGCACGCGCCCCGCCGACCGCCCGTGGTAAACACGCTGTGTGTGTATGTACTGTGTGTTGCGATCAAATTAATCGGCATGACATCGTTACTTCTCCGAGTCGGACGTCTTTCACTCTGCGCTCCCGAGCGCGTCTCGCGGCCCGAATGGGGAAATAAGTCTTAACCGCGATCGTCCCCGGCGTGAAAAAATATAACGGTCGAGCGCGGAAAGGAAAGAGGAAAGAGAGAGCGAACGTGGTTTTACGGCGCGTATCGCGTTACCAACGGTGCGCGAATTGCGATTTGTGTAAATTTACGTGAGTTTATTTTTTATCCGGTAGATTTCTCAAAGTGTTGACCGCGTGGCTAATTGGACGAAGAAAATTATATAGATGGTTCATGTGTGGAGGACGATAAAAAGCCCGGGCAAAAAAATAATTTGAATTTTTTTTAACGTACGCGAGAAATTTATATAGTGCGAACAGATTATTACATCTACAATAAATTTATTAATTAAACGATAAGCTTCACTTATTCTCTTATAAATATCCTATATTATTTTAATTGACATATATATTTAAGTTATTTTATGCCATATTTATTCATCTCCTACATTTGCTATGCAATGGTTAACATAATAATGCTTCATGAATTTATCAAGATGAGATCGAAGCTATCTGCATTTTGATGTGTATCCTCATCAATAAAAATATAAGTCTCAAGTCAATAGCGATCAACGAAACTAAACAAGCTCAACAGAGCACGTAATTAATGGCTAATTCTCCGCGTATTAATTAACATAACGTAGTGGTCCGAAAAATGGAATATATCATCACGCTTCAATGTAGAACATTTCGGTATCACGGAAAGGAAATGAGGTGAATATCACAGAGATGCAATCTAGCAGCTTGCGAGACACGCCACGGATGCGGCAACGGGATGTATGCATGCGGGCAGTGCATAGAACGCGCGACGGGTCTTGGCCGGTAACGCGCCATGAACACAGACGTGCACAAGCCGATTCCCTCTTCTCGGCACGGCTCGTTTAAAATGCAGATTAGACCCTATACCGGCATCCTTTCAACGCGAGTTGCCGACCGGCGTCGACGTGGCAACGGCACCGATCAACGCTCGGCTAAAGCAGCATCTACAATTAAACACGTAGGCAGGTAGACAGGCAGACAAAGAGAAATTTATTGTATTCTGCCATTCTG